GGAGTACAATATGGTGATACTTGAACAAAAATGAGCTGTTTGGTCGAAGTACCAGAAAGAAGCTTTTACTGTATCAATGCCACAAAAAAGCCTGGTTACAATATGCCTGACAACACCTTGACATGCCTAACCAGGCCTTTTTGTGTCATTGATGCAGTAAAGGCTTTTTTCTGGCACCTCGACCATGCAGCTCATTTTTGTTCAAGTGTCATCATATTGTGCTCCTTCAAAACAACCACACTGTCTTTTTCCAGAGCAGCCTGTATTTTTCTTGTGGTTACCTATGGGTTTCCCTTTGTGTCCCGAACAATTCTTCTGGCAGTTGTGGTTGCAATCTTTCTTGGTCTATCTGACCTTGGCATGGTATCAAGAGATCCCCAAACTTTCCACTTTTAATATGTGATTTAACATTACTGATTGGCATAGTCAAGGCTTTGGACATCTTTATATGTCCTTTTCTATCTTTATAAAGTTCCATTACCTTGTTATGCAGTTCTTTTCTGATCCCCATGGCTCAGTATCTAGCCCAGTCATTGCTTCCATGTAAGAGCTAACAAACTCATTGATTATTTATACACTGACACTAATTGCAATTTAAAAAGCCACAGATGTGGGACATTAACCTCTAATTGGCCTTGTGTGTCTGTACCAAGGCCAAACATTCCAGGGTATGTAAACTTTTGATCCGGGCCGTATGGGTGATTTTTGTTATCATTATGATTTAAAAAGGAGCCAAACAACTATTTGATAATAAATGGCTTCATATGATCATCATCCTTCAATAAAAGAGCATTTTTTGGCATGATCAGTCATATTTTCAATATCAATGCCAATATTTCACAATTTCTGCCAGGGTATGTAAACATTTGAGCACAACTGTACTTGTCCAAATCTTCTCCAAACAGTTGCTCTCCATGAAAGGAAAAAACCTGTCAATAATTTTTTACACGGCAGTTCTGCCGACCAACTCTTTAGCCACAAAACCCTGCGCATGTGTACTAATGAGAAGGCCAAGTGAGAAATTTGCTGAATTGAATCCTTGAGAGCATCAACCGCAAAACAAAGCGCATGGAACATCCTCAAAATCCTCTGCCGAGTATTCTGACTGCACCAATGGTCTTCCAAGCAGTCATTTGGCACGGTTCGAAATTCTCTGGCAAATGCCAATAGCTACCACAGCTGGCTGTGCGGCAGAACCTGCCAGAGAAAAGAAGGTCTTAAGGAGAAACTCCTGTTTCTTATCCACTGGATCCTTGAAGACCTGGACATTATCCACAGGACATGAAGACTTATTCAGGGATGAAACAGCCACATCCACTACAGGCATACCCAACTTCTTAAACTTCTCTTCCATGGGGTACAAAAAAAGAAAACCTCTTTGGTGAAACAAAAACCCTGTCTGGGTAATCCCAGTCAGCATACATAATTTGCTCCAGAAGGGGATAAACTGGAAAGGCCTGAGTACTCTGTGGAGGCTTCAAATAGCCCAGAGAAGAACAAATAACCTCAGAAAATAATAAGTAAACTTACTTTGCAGTGATGAGAAACTTAAGATTGTTCCCCGTGTACGAAGGGGGGGGGGCGGGGGGTTGTCACATGCCTGAAACCCAGAAGTAGGCGTACGTCGTTTTGCCTACAAGTGCCACCTAAGCACAGTACATGGCGGGCAGGCATAAAGTGGATAAACAAATATGTCATGAATTCTATAGCTTTTCATGGGCCCAAAAAGGACAGATGCTTCATTATGAGTGAGCAAACCTTCTCACTCATTACAACGGTCAGACGTAATCCTGGATTTATACCAGGTTGCTAGAAAATACATTCCAACCTCTTTACATAAATGCATCTACTTCAGTCAGCCAAGGATTATAAATTTCTGTCAGACATTCAGACAGATCGCCACTTCATCTTACTCAGACGATAAGTAGATTCCACACGTTCCCCACTGTTGATAAAGCTTGATAAGCTATGTGATAACCCTGCCCCATTCATCATGCTCTCTCCAAATCATCTTATTTTATATAACCCTCCTGACAACTTTACTCCATGATAACCAAGTATGAAAGGGACCTATGATACACAGAACAACAAAACACACTTATACTGAACATTGTTCATAAAGCATCCATCTACCAGGATTCAAGAAAAAGTAGTGGTGCACCGAAATGAAAATTCTGGTCCCGAAACCAAAAATTCAGGATGCACTTGGCCGAAAACTGAAACCGAAATGGACAGTTTTTAAAAATTAATATATATTTTTTGGAAAAAAATACACTTTAATGATTTAAAAAAGACCCCCACCATATATACCCCAATTTGTTTGTAAAATATGAAACATGATGTTACACCAAGTAAATAAATCTGCAACATGTCATGCTTTAAAATTGCGCACACTCATGGATTGGCGTCAAACTATTGTACTTAAAAATCTCCATGAGTGACGTTTTAAACATTTCTACAGGTTACCAGTGTAAAGTTACAGAGGAGGTCTAGTGCTACAATTATTGCTCTTGCTCTGATGTTCCTGGCGATACCTCACATGTGTGGTTTGAACACCGTTTACACATGTGGGCACGGCCTACGTATGCATTCACCACTACGTGCGAGCACGGGGGGATGGGGCACTTTAAACTTATTTCTATTTGTTTATTTTAAACTGTCCCTTTAAAAAAAAATGTATCACTTTTATTCCTATCACAAGGAATGCATCTCTTGTGATAGAAATATTAAGTGACAGGTCCACTTTATGGAGAGATATGGGGTCAATAAGACCCCACATCTCTCCTCTACAATTTCAAGCATTAGATCAAAAAAAGCATTGATCTAGTGCTTTAAAAAAAAAATGGCCTTGTTCACAAGCCGCCGGAACCGGAAGTGACATCACTCCGGTCCTCCAAGGGCATAGAGATGAGTGGAGGCCATCTTTCCTTCACTTATCTCTATGCCCAGCCCTGGGATCGTTCGGTGGTTTCTCGGGATAAGGCTAAGAACTACCGAGTAGCAGCAGGAGGCGAGGTTATTTTCGGCACCTGTATTGGTGCTTATTTTCATATCGTCCAATGGTCGATAGGGGTGTTTTTGGCCACCGAAATTTCGGTGCACCGCTAAGAAAAAGGATTCAAAATCTCCCTGGTCCCAAACACTCTTCACAAAATCTTCCCACAATGCTCATCTCTCTGCTGGAGGTGCCAACAACATGAAGGGTCCATGATTAATTTTTTGTCGTGCCAAGGCCTCAAAAGGTTCAGGGTCAAGTGAGAGAAATTTCTTTCAGACTCACCAACATCTGCCTAGGGGACGATCTTTCATCCTTCCTCCTTCATCTTGCATCACTGCCATTATAGCATTACAAAAATTATCTCCTGAAGGCAGTCAAAGCATGTATCCCATTATACTGGAAACTGACAGTCCCTCCTCCAAAAAGAAATGAGCTGCTGAACAACTACTTTGTCATTTATCTGTGAAACCTGAGCTTCAATCTGCACCGCACATGTGTGAATCAGCTCTAGCTCTGTACCCAGATGTGTTTGCTCCTGTACAGGCCACTTCCTTCTCCTCACAATTGTCTTTATGGGATAAAGATGGCTGCTTGTCTCACACCCTCATGGTAATGGGGGAACGCATTAGCATGTTTTGACCTGCAAATTGCATCCTTTCATTCATCTGCTGCATCCTGTTATCTGCTGTAATTAAGCTGCATTCAATGAAGATCTTCCTGGATGAGAAAAAGGTGTTTGGAGAGTTCAGTTATCTGATAAAGGCTGTCTGCGATGATTGTATCTACCGTACTTATAAAGGCCAGGCATAGAGGTCTCAGCAAGGGTAAGTCACTAATACAACAGTTGGAGTCAGAATAGTCAAAACATGGTAGAATTCCTACAGCCTGCTGTGTATATGTGTGTATCCAATCGCCATCTTGTGAAAGTACATGGTCACATAAGCTTACTGCACTTCACCTGTGAATGTTGAAAACTGTTTTTCTCTGAAGTGGACTGTGGTATCCCACTTGTCTAAGCTGCTGTTCTTCTTAAAAGTAACCACTTTTTTCAAAACTTTAAAAAAAGCCTAGACAAGGCTGTGAATACTCATGCCTCTGACCACACAGATGTACAGGGAGCGAATTCTGCAAATATTGAAGAGCAAAGCGTAAGACCCAAAACACACAATAAAACCAACGCAGAAACTCACAGAAAACTATGACACCACTAGAGATGTTCTCCAGCAAACTGTCAGATCTATGAGACAGAACTACATACTGCATGTCAGTTTTGACGCGCTTTAATGATCAACCAGCTGAATTAAGGGACTCTATAGATCGTCTATCTGCTGCGTATGAACGCTGCCAGCAGCTGTCTGCAAAATACACACCTTTCTTCAAAGGACTCTAATATGGAGTGCTCCTTAGCAGAACTAACTTGGACACATGCACTAAACCAATAAAGAGATCTCTTAGTGCAAGATGCTAAGGATATGACAGAACTCTGCATTGCTCAACTGCAGGAGATCAGATCTCATAAATCCACAGTTACTAAGGTCTCAACACGTTCTTCTAAATCAGTGGTTCTCAACCTTTCTAATGCCGCGACCCCTTAATACAGTTCCTCATGTTGTGGTGACCCCCAACCATAAAATTATTTTCGTTGCTACTTCATAACTGTAAATTTTGCAGTGGGAGGAGTACTGCCACATCATTGGTGTCAGTGGGAGGAATAGTGCCCCATCGTTGGTGTCAGTGGGAGGAATAGTGCCCCATCGTTGGTGTCAGTGGGAGGAATAGTGCCCCATCATTGGTGTCAGTGGAAGGAGTAGTGCCCCATCACTGATGTCAGTGGGGGGAATAGTGCCCCACGTTGGTGTCAGTGGGATGAATAGTGCCCCATCGTTGGTGTCAGTGGGAGGAATAGTGCCCCATCGTTGGTGTCAGTGGGAGGAATAGTGCCCCATCGTTGGTGTCAGTGGGAGGAATAGTGCCCCATCGTTGGTGTCAGTAGGAGGAATAGTGCCCCATCGTTGGTGTCAGTGGGGGGAATAGTGCCCCATCGTTGGTGTCAGTGGGGGGAATAGTGCCCCATCGTTGGTGTCAGTGGGGGGAATAGTGCCCCATCGTTGGTGTCAGTGGGGGAATAGTGCCCCATCGTTGGTGTCAGTGGGGGGAATAGTGCCCCATCGTTGGTGTCAGTGGGGGGAATAGTGCCCCATCGTTGGTGTCAGTGGGGGGAATAGTGCCCCATCGTTGGTGTCAGTGGGGGGAATAGTGCCCCATCGTTGGTGTCAGTGGGGGGAATAGTGCCCCATCGTTGGTGTCAGTGGGGGGAATAGTGCCCCATCGTTGGTGTCAGTGGGGGGAATAGTGCCCCATCGTTGGTGTCAGTGGGGGGAATAGTGCCCCATCGTTGGTGTCAGTGGGGGGAATAGTGCCCCATCGTTGGTGTCAGTGGGAGGAATAGTGCCCCATCGTTGGTGTCAGTGGGAGGAATAGTGCCCCATCGTTGGTGTCAGTGGGAGGAATAGTGCCCCATCGTTGGTGTCAGTGGGAGGAATAGTGCCCCATCGTTGGTGTCAGTGGGAGGAATAGTGCCCCATCGTTGGTGTCAGTGGGGGGAATAGTGCCCCATCGTTGGTGTCAGTGGGGGGAATAGTGCCCCGTCGTTGGTGTCAGTGGGGGGAATAGTGCCCCGTCATTGGTGTCAGTGGGGGGAATAGTGCCCCATCATTGGTGTCAGTGGGGGGAATAGTGCCCCATCATTGGTGTCAGTGGGGGGAATAGTGCCCCATCATTGATGTCAGTGTGGTGGAGGGGGAAATAGTGCCCCATCTTTGGGGTCAGGGGGGGGAATAGTGCCCCATCATTGGTGTCAGTGGGAGGAATAGTGCCCCATCATTGGTGTCAGTGGGAGGAATAGTGCCCCATCATTGGTGTCAGTGGGAGGAATAGTGCCCCATCATTGGTGTCAGTGGGAGGAATAGTGCCCCATCATTGGTGTCAGTGGGAGGAATAGTGCCCCATCATTGGTGTCAGTGGGGGGAATAGTGCCCCATCATTGGTGTCAGTGGGGGGAATAGTGCCCCATCATTGGTGTCAGTGGGGGGAATAGTGCCCCATCATTGGTGTCAGTGGGGGGAATAGTGCCCCATCATTGGTGTCAGTGGGGGGGAATAGTGCCCCATCATTGGTGTCAGTGGGGGGAATAGTGCCCCATCATTGGTGTCAGTGGGAGGAATAGTGCCCCATCATTGATGTCAGTGTGGTGGAGGGGGAAATAGTGCCCCATCTTTGGGGTCAGGGGGGGGAATAGTGCCCCATCGTTGGTGTCGGTGGGGGGAGGAATAGTGCCCCATCATTGGTGTCAGTGGGGGGAATAGTGCCCCATCATTGGTGTCAGTGGGAGGAATAGTGCCCCATCATTGATGTCAGTGTGGTGGAGGGGGAAATAGTGCCCCGTCTTTGGGGTCGGGGGGGGAATAGTGCCCCATCGTTGGTGTCGGTGGGGGGAGGAATAGTGCCCCATTCTTGGTGTCAGTGGGGGGGAGGAATAGTGCCCCATCGTTGGTGTCAGTGGGGGGGAGGAATAGTGCCCCATCGTTGGTGTCAGTGGGGGGAGGAAGGAATAGTGCCCCATCATTGGTGTCAGTGCGGGGGGGGAGGAAATAGTGCCCCATCATTGGTGTCAGTGGGAGAAATAGTGCCCCATCATTGGTGTCAGTGGAGAAATAGTGCCCCATCATTGGTGTCAGTGGGAGAAATAGTGCCCCATTGTTGGTATTAGTGACACAAATGATGGGGCACTATTCCTCCCACTGACACCAATGATACTTACCTTGCTGACCCCTGCTCCAGCCTGGGCTCGCTCTCTCACTTACCTGTCAGCTGTCTTCCTTCTCTGGCCGCTCTCTATCTTCACTTACTCCGGCAGTTCCCTCGATCTTCTTAGATCTACGCGCGCTGCCGCTCGGCTCCTCCTCTCCAAGCTCCACCTCCTCGCCGGTGATTGGCCGCCTGTGTGCCTCTCCTGAGCTACAGTTCCGGTGGCCAATCAGCGGCGAGGAGGCGGTGTTGTTGAGGGATCCCGGAGGTGTGGCCAGGTGACAGGAGCAGCGTATCATCCCGCCCACACATCGACTGAGTCAGAGGAGCGGTGTCTCGGTTCCTAAGACCATCGGAAATATGTGTTTTCCGATGGTCTTAGGCGACCCCTGGGAAATGGTCGTTCGACCCCCAAAGGGGTCGCGACCCCCAGGTTGAGAACCGCTGTTCTAAATGCTCTCGCTCCAGAATCTAAACATTAAGTGACAAGCTAATAGAGGCCCATGCAAGTCTGGAAGCAAATAAAGTGCAAAGCTTATTTGCCAGAAAAGAGGCTGAAATAGAAGCTCAAAGCAAAACTCTTCAAGCACTGATGGCAGCTTGCCAAGTAGAGATAGAAGCTCAAAGCAAAGCTCACCAAGCAAAGGAGAAATCCCAAATAAAGATTCTGCAAAAGGAAAAGGAAGAAGCAGCTGCCCTAGCAAGGCTGAAAGTACTTTCTCCCATTGCTTATTCAAGTACCAATTCAGACTGTTCTATTCCAGCAGAACAGGAAAAATCCAGTTGAACCCACCAGTGAATATGTACTAAGGCATAATGTTTGCAATGATACAGAATCACTTCTTGTACATGTTCAGACTCTCCACAGAGATCTCCAACATGCAAAAGCCTGAACCTCTTCAAGTCCACCATGCAATTGCATCTACACAGCATCAGTAAACCACATCACTTTCTGCCAACAACAAGGTGACTTCCCAGTGACAAGCCACAGTTCAAGCAACAGCCAGAAGAAGCCCTAGAGACTAAATCACAGCTAAATGCTGTTGCAATGTTATTTTTACCCTGGAATACTTCACCCTTATTCACCAGAGAAATTTCAAGCCCAAGAGGTCCCACAAGTTACTGTTGTGCCAAAGAGTAAGATATCACACCTGTCTGACTTCGCCAGATATATGATTCGTCACAAGCTCCTTAACTTTAGCCTCTCAAGGTTAGACTACTGTCCAGAAAACTATAGGGCTTGGAGATCAACCTTCAAAGCTGCTAATGTTGATCTCAAAAGTGAAAAAATATAAAACTTGTGTTGCGCTAAGTAATCTCAAATAAATATTTAAATTATTAATGTACGGTTATACAAATAGATAATAGTGCTGTAAAATAGCCCTATAACCAAAGAATAAAGTGCACAATAATGGTCAAAGTGTAAAACAGCAATCATATATGTGACAGTCCAGTCTTTTCCTTCCTTATGTGAATAATCCCAGATCTTCATTCAAACTTGTGTGTCCACCAATGTCACCACTGTGACAACAAATTGGAGGCTTACCAGATCCTTTGATCCCTAATTATAGGAGGTCAACATTTGCTTTGTTGGAAAGCATCCATGCATGCTGCCATGCCATAAACTGAACCATGTGTGTCTTCCTTTAAATGTCCCGATCGCTCTGGATTAGTTTATAACCATGCAAAAATAAAAAATGCCTCTCATAATGCGAACAGTTTGTAAACCATTTATTAAAAAAGAAATAATCGCACTTACAGTTTAAAATCTCGAGATCCCTGGTTAAACCTAAATTCTTTGAAATCTTTGGCATAAAAAGGGACATGCATCCCCATATACTCTTCAACATGGGTTCATGGTGTCCCATATCACGGCAAAGGGCATACCCTTGCCAACATTAGTTGAGTGTGACCAAATACCAGACAACGGAAGAAATTTCTACTCCAGAAGCTGTGTATCACCATCCCCCCTTAAGGCACCTGGTTACTGATATTTATTAATTAATTAATTCTTTAAAGATAAATCTAACAGCTGGGTTGCACTGTTACCTCTTCGTGCTACAAGAGTCAAACTTCCAAATAATTGAGAACAAGCTTTATCTAGATTCAACTCACTTCAGCGAACACTAAAGAACCATTTCATTGCCTTTATGAAAAGGATCTTTGACAAAGAACGCACTGAGCTAGCTCCACGTCTTCTAAAACATGACGAATGCTCGTATCTGCCTTTCTTCGGAGTGTATCACGTAAACTGAAAAAAAAAAATCAGGGTAGTGTATGACTACAGTGCCAAGCATCAAGGTGTATCCCAGAATGATGTTCTTCTCACTGGTCCTAACATAACCAACAACCTTGTAGGAGTACTTATGAGGTTCAGAAGAAAGCCAGTTGCCATAACTGCTGACAGTGAACAAATGTTCCATTGCTTTAAAATAAGAAAAGACCATAGGAACTGCCTAAGCTTTCTTTGGCACTGCCCTTGATGGTGAAAAGGAGTATAGTACAGATGCTTTACACATCATCCGAGAGAGACTACTACATGGATGATGAGCTCAAATCTTTACCCACAGATGAAGAAGATCATGCCACAGGATTTAAGGATTTAAATCTGGGAATGGACATGCCTTCTGTTCAGAGAAGTCTGAGCTTCCAGTAGAACTTATTAAGACACCTTCAGCTTTCAAGTCAGCACTGCAGACAAGTAATTTACGAAACGTATTCTGTCAGTGGTGAACAGTCTAAACGATCTACTTTGTGGCTCCCATCACCATACAAGGTAAATCCTTATTAAGGCAGCTATCAGAGACTATTAAAGACTGTGATGCTCCACTACCAACAAACATTCAAAATGGGAGTCCTGGAAACAATCACTACCTGACTTAGATGGAATTAACATACCATGCTGCTACACTTCAGTCTCCCTTGCTGAAAGTTGAAGAAATGAGATCAATATCTTCTCAGATGCATCCACTGAGGCCATAAAAGCTGTTGCCTACCTCAAGGTAAGAGACTCTCTCAAATCAAACCCATGTAGGATTTCTGTTTGGCAAGGCTAAGTTAGCACCTAAGCCTGAGCGCACAATTCCCAGACTTGAACCCTGTGGGACTGTGCTAAACGTAGAAATTCAGATTTTATACTGCGTAAGCTAGACGTTCAGATATATGACATCAAAGAATACACAGACAGCAAAGTTGTCTTAGGCTACACATACAATCAGACAAAATGCTTCTATGTTTATGTCAGGAACTGTCAGAATCAGAAAATCCTCAAGGCCTGAACAAAGGCATCATGTCCCATCAGAGCTTAATCCTGCAGATCATGCCACCAGCCCAGTGTCTGCCATAATCAATTCAAGACCACTTGTTCCAGTGTCTACAGATCCAGAGTCCACAACCATCCTTACTCCAGCTATTCTTCTTACACAGAAGATTGGGTCTGTTCCTGTTCCTCCTGGAGACTTTAAAGCAGTAAATCTATATTATGATCAATGGAAGCAAGTACAACACCTTGCCAACTGCTTCTGGAATCGTTGGAACATGGACAATCTTTCTCTTCTGCAAGGACACAGAAAATGGAAATGTTTCAAACCTAATCTTCAAGTTTGGAGACCTTGTTCTGCTCAAGGACCAGCAAGCTGAAAGAATTGAATGACCCATGGAGCTCATTGTAAAGACCATTCCTAGTGATGATGGTAAATAAAGCCGAAAATTGCCATACAAGGTACTGTAAAGACTTTAATCATGTCTATCACATAACTTGTTCTTCTCTTGCCTTTTGGAAACTGAACTTGCTTACCTGGGTTGTTGGTTCCTGTTTCCCACCTCAGGACAATTGTGCCTTGAACTTTAAATTGACACCACTTGATGCCTTAATTGTAGTTATTGTTGTTGCATATATATGCATGTTCTTTCTTGTCGTTTGGGTCTTCAAGACAACTGCAAATTGGACTACTGTTTATTTGCGCTTGCATAACTATTGTTATGTTGTAATATAGTGATATTTTACAACGCCAGATGAGGTGTGCGGTTACATTTGTTGTATGAAAATATAATACAGCACGTAGCCAGGGTTAATGTTCATATTACGGTAAAATGAGAATTTATATAGTTCATTTTCTTTAAAGTGTTACTAAACCCACAACAGTAAAATCAGTTTGTATATGCAGTAAAGCATGTTTGATTAATCCTCCACATTAAGGCTGTCAGATCCTGTCTTCTTTGATCCT